GCGAGAGGGAAAAATAGGGACGAAATCCTACTCTTAAAATTCCCAGGGACTGTCAGGCCTGCCTAGGTGTTTGCCATCTCTATGATATTAACCATTTTTTTGTGTACGATTTAGGAAATGTTATTAAATATCATTTTACTAAAACTTTGGCTTGTGGATCAGTATCTTACTCAAACCTTTCTTCTTTACTATTTTGGAATTTTGTACCATGCAAATGTTGACGAATAACAATAACGCTGGTTGGGATCTGCTCAGTGTCAGATTGAGAGCTTATCTGTGGTCTGTATGTATAAAGGAAACTAAGAAATACAATCTCTCATTTAGCTTGGGTGAAATGGGAGTAGCTGTCTTTTATTAATAAACTCTCAAGGATAAAAACAAATTTTATGAACAAACACACTCCGATTAGCTCTGTGGTTTTAATCAGTTTGTCTCATTCCTGAAAAGTCTTGAAATGAATATTTAGAAGGTGGAAATTCCACTAGGAAAATATTTTTTTGTCCAGAGACTAATAGTTTCCATTGGAACTGCTTTACTGTAAAAAAGTTACTAGAATTCCTTTTTAATTTATGCTGCTAAAACCATTCACTTCTGAGAAGCCTTTTCTGACTCTTCTACTCTCTCCACCTCCATCCGAGTTAGAAGTCTGTTTCCCCTGGTACCCCTCTTCTGCAGCAACTTCCAAATATTTTTACTTGGCTTACATTAAGAATTTTACCAACAAAGAGTAAGATATTTTATGCTAAAAGCAGTTGGAAAAATGTACAGTGTTATAACCTGATTACATACAATTTTTGATGCTTTTTAAAATAATTGGAATTGGTCAATAAGATGGTAAAATAAATTTGGTAAGAGCTACTTAAGCTAGAGTATGAGAAGAGATGTTGCCTCAAAAATCTGTTAAAAGAAAAAGTTTATCTGCCTGTATAATGTTTTTAACCTTCCAATCCTTTTCTTCAATATATATGTTAGTGCTATTGGCAGAATTGACTCCTGCTGTGGCAACCAGCCTCTGAGATGACGCCCCAAAGTTCTGCGCCTTCCAGTATTCATTTCCTAATTTAGTCCCCTCCCTTAGTGAATCAGGGCCAACCCTTTGTGACCAATGGAATCCAGTGGAAGTGATATTGTGTGACTTCTGAGGCTACATCAGAGGCCTTGCAGCTTCTGACTTGGTCACTTGGAACATTCATTCTTGAAGCCCTCAGCACAATATGTGAAGCCCTACTACCCTAAGACCACCTTGCTGGAGAGATCACATGGAGAGACCTTGAGATTTCATATAGAATGAATTCTGGCCAGTTCCCCAACCATTTGAGACATCCCAGCTGAGGCTCTGGACATAGCATGAAACAGTTGTCCCCACTGAGCCCTGCCTAAATTGCAGTTTCATGAGCAAAATGAATAAACATCATTTTAAACCATTAAGTTTTGAGTGGTTTCTTATGCAACAATAGATAATGGAAACGCTCTTCTCCTCCCTTTCCTTCACTTGTAAAGTGCTTCCTTAGGTGAGTGCAGAATGAGCAAGTATGTGTCAGGTCAACTCAAGAATAGGGACTTTTCCAGCTGTTGTTGCTGGGCAGTTGACTTATTTATGCTGCGGAGACATGCCTCTTGAAGACTGCTTTCTAAGAGGTAACTATGTCACTTTTGTAGTCAAGACACACAGGGGACCCAGTCCATCTCCGGAGCCTATGGCCAGGTGCAAACCCACAGCAGAACTGTTTAACATACATAAATATTTCTGTTAAGCTGAACATGAAGGGTAGCTTTCTAAAGAAAAAGAAGTCACACCCTAGCTGGTTTGGCTCAGTGGTTAGAGCCTCAGCTGGAGGACTGAAGGGTCCCAGGTTCAATTCCGGCCAAGGGTACATACCTCGGTTGCAGGCTCAATCCCTGGCCGAGGTTGGGGTGCGTGCGGGAGGCAACCAATTGATGTGTCCCTCTCACATGGTTGCTTCTCTCTCTCTCTCTCTCTGCCCCCCCTCTCCCCCTTCCACTCTCTTTGAAAAAGCAATGGGAAAAATATCCTCTGGTGAAGATAAAAACATATTTTTTAAAAAGTCACAGAAGTATAAGTAGCAAGAGAGGTACAAGCAGAAGGAGTAACCAACTTCTGTCTGGACTCTGCAGAGCTAGAGCTACCAGCACATGTTCCCTTTTCAGCACCTCTCTATCCGTGTCTGTAATATGAAACTCATCCTGCAGCTGCAGGAGTATATACTTGACTGATAGGTAACCATTCTATTATTGATTAGCCAGTAATTTATCTGGTTATCTCCCTTGAAAATCTGGATTAAGATATAAAGAGATTGTAGCAAGCACTTGGACAGAAAGGCTATAAAAATCAGGGTGACATGGCTATTAGCCAAGTATATGCCAATGAGTAAATAAAGAGAGCTAGTCTGCAAAAAAATAGTGGTGGTGAGAATCCATCAGAGAGAAGGGTGGAGAAAAGAAGGAAAGGGTAAGAAAGAGAGAAAGAAAGAGCATGAGAGATCTCTAGCACTAGCTCTGTTCATTGGCTTTCTAGTTCCCAGTTTTTAATACAGGGTGGCCCAAAAAATGCATACACACAATGTCTATAGATTCTTTTACATTTTGAAAATGAAATGTATTTTAATAAATACTGCTTTTATAATTATTCACAGTGTGTATACATTTTTTGGGACCCCTTGTATTTAGTAACTTAATTTTCCTTTATTTTAGTTTTGGTAAGGCAGGGGTGATGGTAGGATGGCATTTAACACAAAGGAGATTTTTATGTTCACTTTTGTTGAAAGGTCCCTGAAGAGATCACTGTTGGAACCTCCCTTTCCTCCACTGTACTACGTGGTGGTCAAAATTTTTACATTCTGTGGATATAAAATATCTAAGGATCTTAACCAAAACATCCTCACATAGACCTCTCATCTCATTCTGAAGGAGAAAATGTATGCATTGGGTAAAGACCCTATTGCCTAAGATCTGGAACTTAAATTTGCTGTAATTTCTAATACTTGAGCACATGCACTTTTCTTCCTGATTGTGCAATAAAGGACAGGAAGTGAAAAAGGGAACATTCTTAATGCTCAAGTTAAGTCAGAGACTCTTTTAGTATATATACCAGATACAAATAAGTGTGGGAAAGTAAAATGATCACCAAATTTGAACCTGAACTGATCCGTATTAGATGTCCTACCAAGATGTCAAAATATTGTCCTCAGAAAATTAAACCAACAACTCACCTTTTCTATTACATAAACAATACATGTGTATTGTAGTAAATTCGGCCCAAGTGTAACTAATGTTAATATTTAGTGTATATAGATTTAATATCTTCAGACAAACCCTATACCACTCAGAAGAGATCTGACTGTTTATATGGCAGTGCTTATGTCCTCAATTAGGCTATAAACTCCATGAGGAAAACCCCTTTTCCATAACTCTACCTCCCCCACTTCAGTCAGTTTCTTTGGGAGGGAATATGGGAAAGGTTATAAATGCTTCCTTCATTAGTATGTATTCATTCATACATTCATTTGACAAACGTTTTATTGCACTCCTAGTATGGAGTTGGGTAAGGCCTAGGGAATTCAAAGGTACATGCCCTTAAGACAGGTCTTTTTTTTCTCAAGAAATTCACAGATCTGATACACGAATAATTATTTTACTAAGTACTTGTGCAATTTTAGAGTGATACGTGGAAGTATTAAGAGAGCACAGAAGAGAGGGCAAAGAGAGTCAGGAGGTTGTTGAGGGAAGTTTCCTGAGGGAGGTGACACTGGCCGGACCGTGCATGGGCAGAAGACAAGGGGAGAAGAGGAGTGAGGAATACGAATTTCAGGGTCCCTTCCTGTGTCAGCAGCAATTTCTGTTCCCTCACCACTTGCATGATAAAACTGAAGTTCAGCGTTAGACTAGGGATCCCTCCCATACCTCAAACTCGGAAACTGAGAACCAAGGGCAAAAAGACTGGGCTAAGGAGCCAAGGCTCCCAGCCCCTAGAGAGCCTCACTGAGTCCTAGGAGGGCGGGGCAGAGCTGGAGGCGGGGCGGACAATGGGTGCACTAGAGCGGGCTGGGCCCCGCCCGCCACTGGGGGCTGGCCCAGGAGTACGGCGTTGGTTGGTTGTGCGCGTGAATCGACCTCTTATGATAGGCCGCGTAGGGCTGATCGCAGGGCTTTGATTGGCTCACTGGGCGCTGAGCGGACATAGCCTGTGGCGGGTCGTCGGGGAGACAGAGAGGAAAAAGAGAGTAGTGGTGTTAGGCCTAGCGGG